TCAGAAAAGACATCTGTGCTGCCCCTGACAATAAACCCATCTACTGAATCTTATTTTTAAATATAATTTTCATCAGTTCCTGTGTTCAAGTCTCCTCAACAGAACAGATGTTCTGAAGGCCAGGTGATTCTGTTCTTATGAATCCTCTTGGAAACCTTGTCTTTTGTCAACGTAAAACCTCTTCCTTTCTTTTGTAAGTCTCTTTTCTGTTTGTCTCGCAGGTGTTCTCCCAGCCACTGCGAACATGGAGGTAGATGCACTCAGTCGTGGAGTACCTTCCACTGCAACTGCTCCACCAGTGGCTACAGAGGAGCCACCTGCCACAGCTGTAAGCATGAAGGAAAACACATCACGTCTTATCTCTTTGATACTTTAATCAGACAACAGCATGAAAATCTCTTCTTTTATTTTAAGAAAAACTGTTAAGAATTGGACTTGGTCTTTTTTTTTTTCCTGGCATGCACAATCATCAAGATTTTGAAGACTAAATGAAGGACCATTAACCACCTGTAACTATTTTTGTTGGGTATTTGGTTGACAAATTAAAAGAAAGAAACTTTGACACACTCTACTACTTCAAACCTGTCATTTAATTCAAACAGCTAATGGGAAAAATCTAAAGTGCATGCCATATAATATAACGTGGTTTTATTATTATATTAAAAACAATTTTTTTTCTTTCTTCTAATACAGCAGATGCTGCATGTCCACCATCAGTCAATTTCCTGTGGATTTTTGTTACGTCATCGTTTCAGAACTTTAATTAGCCGTGTGCATTTGGGAATAAACCTGACAGATGTTTCATGATGCTCTGTAAACTAGAATTTAGTTTAATTTGTCTTATATGATTATTTTTTGTTTATTTGCTGATTCATTCAGATGTCTTATTATCTTCAGGTAGTTTTTTTTTATTTACTGTGTTTTAGTGTCATGCAAGTTTGAGCAACACTGTAGTAAAATGTAACATTTTAAAAGCTCCATCCTAATGAAAGGAAGATTCTTACTGAAAATAAAAAAAGGTAAAAACACAGTACTCAGCACTTCCATGAAAAATTTACTGTTTTTTAATTTACCATGACCTGGATGACTGAGAATCTTCACAAACAGTTCTCAGTACTCTTATTTTTTTAGTTATTCTTACAAAACAACATTTTAGTGACATACTATCATGATCCTGGGTTCATGGTCTCTTTTAATTGATTAATGATGAATAATGAATTCTTTTCATGTTTCTATTTGTTTCCTTTGAGATTCTTTGTTAGTGTTGGTTTCTTGTGATGCTTGTTTTCAATATTTTTATGTTCAGTTTGCTTCATTGCTCGTCCTCAATCAGCTTCTTCTCCTCTGTCCTGCTATCCTCCGTAACCATCAAACAACCCGTCTCCTACCTCTTCATCAGTCCCAGTCCATTTAATCTGCCAGTCTTTACCTCACCTACAGTCTTGCATAGAGCTTCCTTACCCTGTCTAGGCCTCCTCTGTGATTTCTCAACTCTTTTTTATTTATTCTTTTGCTACCATTTCAGTCTTTTGTATTATATACATTTGTGTTACTGTTAAGCCTCTGGGTTTTATAGCTCCTCATGTTTGTGTGGATTTCTTGGGTTTGAGCTTTGCACAAACTGTGAAAACTGGATCAGGCTTTTAATACAAAGTAACTTTTAAAAACAGGTTGTATTTACTGGAAATGATGCGGTACCTGCAGACCTGTGCAGACTTGCAAATAAGTTTAGCCCAAATTTAATATGCTTCTTAACAAAAATAACCTGCCTGGTATGACATAATGCAGAAAAAAGTGTCACTCTGTCCACTGGGGATTGTTGAAGGGAGAACAAAGGGATTGCATCCTGCGGCAGATGAAAGCCACAATTTTCTCCCACTTCTCTCTTCAAAGAGAACGTATTAAGCACTTGTTCACTTCTCGGTTGTTAACTTCTCTCTTTTCTTGCTGAATAATTTAAACTTAAGCATCAAAGATTTTTAGGTGCTAAAAAATACTTATATATTTATTTTCTCCTTTAAGAACTCGATCAATTATAACTTTAATTTGATGTGCAGACTTTGATCAATCTGCTCTGCTGTTAGTGGTCTGTGTGACGGTTATTATTTCAGACACTGCAGGTGACATTTGGTTGTTTCCCTCCTTAGCCAAACATGAACTGTCTTGTGAGATGTACAAACACAAAGGCAACACATCAGGACTTTATTTCATAGATGTGGACGGCAGTGGACCAGTTAAACCTCAGCTTGTTTACTGTAACATGACAGGTAAAACTCACCGGCATGAAAATTATTTTTCATTTTATACAAACTTTTGATATTTTTCAGTCTAAGTGATTGGTGCTTTCTTTTTGTCTTTCCTGTGTTCTTGTATTTCTACCAGAGGATAAGACATGGGTTGTGATCCAACACAATAACACAGAACTGACAAGAATTCAGTCCTCCTCTGACAGAAATCAACACTTTGCCCATTTTGACTACTCCTCTGAAGAGGAGCAGCTTGCATCCATCATCAGTCAGTCGGAGCGTTGTGAGCAGGAGCTGTCGTTCCACTGCAGGAGGTCCCGCCTCTTCAACTCTTTGGGTAAGGGCTGAGAGAAGAAGCTCTTTGACATTTTTGTTATAATTAAAGTCACTGAGACGACATATGAAGAAAAACATTCAGTATATTGTCTTGGTAAGCTTTTTCGTTCCTTTTTTTTGCTGAGAATATTCAGTGAAAATGTCATTAAAATGACTGGAGGCAACTTTTTTTTTTGTTTCCTTTTTAGCCAAGCAAGTTTTACTGCCTCTGTGGGAACTATAACTGAAACCAGTGCAGAATGGTGCGAATTAGATTTACACAATTAAGTTATAATATATATATATATATATATATATATATATATATATATATATATAT